GATTCAGGCTATAGGAGTTTTTAGAAGTACTAGTTAGGATTATTCTCAGCAGGTCTATAGTTTAAGCTCTCAGTTGTTGGAGTAGATTGCGTTACGGGCTGTTGAGGCTGATTTAGACCGAATGAATTTAGCGCAATACCCCATCATAAATCAGCTAAGTAGTTACTAAACTTCATTAAGTATAATAAGTCTGGGAAAATGCAATAAACTCAGGCCGCTATATAGACATATTACTTATAAAAACCTTTATTGTATATAATATAGGATAGCCAGAAGCGGCCACTAGGCTATACTCTTATTATAGGACTTTTTATCTCTAGATAGAATAGTATCCTAAAACTGCTATATCTATTCACTAAATTAACTATAACTTAATATAACTAAACTTAATTACAGCTAAAGCTAGCTAATTAAGCTGCACTTTAGAAGCTAACTCTGATTTTTAGCTAAATTTATTGGCTCCTTGAACTATAGCTGGTTTGGCTATAATAGGTTAGGAAATTTATATATAGTTAGATTTAAAAGTAGAGAAATCTAGCGACTATAATAGGTTATAGATAGAACTAATAGTTATAGAATAAACTACTATAAGTCTACTTTAACACTATATAAGATAACTACCTATATAGAGGATAAGTGCTAGTAGAAGTAGCTAGAAATTTAGTCTTAGATGATTATAAATAGGCGATCTAATATTATTTAGTTTCCTAAATCTAACAAAAGTGATAGTTTTTTATAGAATATCTAGCTATTATAGCCTTAGCTTTTCCTTATATAAGTAATAATAAATTATAAAAATTAACCCTTAATTAAATTCATCCTACTTAATATAATAAAGTAGTAGGTTTATTTATTTCTTCTACTTAATATAAGAGCTTATCTTCTAATCTATTAATAATAATATAGTAAAGAACACTAAATAACCCTAGCCTATTATCTATATACGCAATAATATTTCCTACTACTCTCACAATATCTTTCAGCTTTCTAGGTACTTAATTAATCATCTAATTAGTGAAATAAAGCTCTATCTATATTTTATTATCTAGGTTATCTAGCTTAATAAGCTCTTTAGGCTTAAAATCCTCTTAGTATGACTTTTAGTAGCACTAAACCTTATATATATCTAATAGTAGATAGAGAAGGGCAGATAGACTATCACACTTATTTTACTCCCTATATATTTTACAGAGTACTAGAGATAATTATATCTAGGGTATAAGCTATATATTTCTACTATTAGTCTCCTATTTATTACACTTAATCTAGGGAAGTATTTTTAATAAAGCGATATATAAATCCTTTCTAGTATACTAAATAGTAGTTTTAGGGAAAAAATCGCCTCTTTATATATAAGAAATATATAGCTTATTTACGCCTAAGGTTTATAGTATCTAATAATAGCCTAATAAGGTAATATATATATAAGCACTAAGAATGTCCTTATTTTAGTTCTTAGTAACTATAAATAGATATAAGACCCCTCTTATATAATTAGTGTAGAATTAATATAATATATATTTATAATATCACCCTTTACTTGTAGATATTAAATTTAGTGATACTACTATGTTTAAATTTCGATTAACTACACTAGGGGAAAAAATAAGTGATAAAAGAAGGCACTCCCCAGAGATCAGTTAGTGCTTAAATGAAGTTAAAATATGCCATACCTGCCTATATACTGAACACCAAACAAGTCTTGGGGCTGTCTTATCACTTCGTTAGATTAGTCTTACTGGGTTTCAAATATAGATATTACGTGTTAATTATTAGACATTAGCTTTTATCTACTGTAGTTGCCCAGTGCTTAAGGGTGTAAATCTCTATAATGATGCTGCGCCAATTCTTATAAACGGACTTATAGACTAAGACAAGGGCTGAGGATCTAGCAAATTACTAAGACTTAGGTAGTCTTTAAAAATCCGTAGTCACCGACTGTGATTTATTCTTATTAAACCACTACTCGAGAGGGTAAGAAGACTTTTCATATAATTCAAGACATTTTTTATGCATTTCGCTACTGGGTGATACCTGGGTGGAATTATCATCGCCAATAGGCATCTCAAATTTGGAATTGCCCGAAGCCATCTATTCTATTGCCTTGAGGCATCAAGCAAGAGGGTCCAATAAAGGAACGACCAAATGACTGTCAAAATCACCTCCGATATGAACGGTATGACGACCCTTATTGGCGTGAGTAGATCCATACAAGAATTCAAACTCCATGAAGCTCATGTAATGGCCTGAGACCTTGAGGGTCAGATACTCTCCCTCCTCAAACACGATACCAGTAGGCCAGATAGGTATCTCAAGCTTCGCAACAGTGCCAGCAGGAATGGCCTTGCGGGTGGTGTTGGTGTACTCGGGCCACTCGCCAGTAAATCTTCCGGGCCTGGGTTCAACCTTTGTGATTGCGTGGCTAGCTCGCATTGAGCCCGTAGGTCCCAAGTACTTCAAGAAGCATGTGTCGGCAGCCTCTGTGTGATGGTTGACGGGTGGGATCAGCTCATTCAGAGCAACGTTCATATTGACTAGCTGTTCGCCAGAAGCATCTTGTTTTCCGAGCTGGGCAAAGACATCAATATCATCATCGCCATCATTAGATATACTAATATTGAGCCATGAATAGCCGATGAGCCATGTTTTCTTTGGCATCTTATACTTGAATAGGAGCTCTTCACCACCTTGAAGCGGATGCTTAGGATGGTAGGAAGCATCATACGAAAGGGCCTGTGTTTCCCTCTGAGGAGACAAGTCAAGATTCTGGCCAAAGCCGAGGTAAAGCTTCGTGTGTTTCGTGTTGGGGATAGGGTAAGATTCGAGAGGGATGTTTACAACATGGTGCTAGCGCGTTGTTAATGTTAAAAGTTCGAGTTTTGATATGCTTAGGTTGAAACCTACCAAGTTAAATCCAACAAGTGAGCCTCTAACTCTCGGAGTGCTTGGCCAGTCGTTTTTGATACCCTTGACGAAGTAGTCAAAGAATTTATGTAAATCATCCACGTTCTCCGGATGATACAAGTCAGACCACTCTTGTCTGGCATGGATACGGAGCCTATTGAGATAGATCAGGATTCTTATTCTGTCATATGACGTTTCAAAAAAAAAAAAAAAAAAAAAAAAAAAAAAAAGACCAAAAAAATCATAACTTACCACTTATCTTTGGATGAAATATCATGGTAACCTCGTATAGATCCAGTCGTGTGAAGTGCAGAGGAGAAGCTTGCAAGGATATATGCAGGAACTTGAATTTTCTCGAGTTTGACGTTCTTGTCGTCCCAATACTCGTTATAAAGGGGATAATGTTCCAACATTGTGATGGGAGCCTCGGCCCCCGTGCGCCCTACCATGCTATCCTGGAGCAGCTTCCACATGGCGTTGTAAGGGTATGGCACACCACCACGGGCAAGAGTATCGCGGTAGAAGTCTGCATTGCCTTCCCAGGGAGCGATAGCAGCGAGCGACGGAGGGTTCTGAGACGCAATTTGCCACTGCACCATGGCAAGCCAACTGTTTCCGCCCAATGCGACCTTGCCCGTGCACCAAGGAAGCTTGGCAACATGCTCAATGGCATCATAACCATCTTCACCATCTTGCTTGCCAACCCATCTACATTCATCAGCTTGCTTTCTCTTGAAGGCCAATCGATATCAGACATCAAATGTGCTGAGTTTTGCCCTTATTAACGCCATGGTACTTACGGAACGATTCCATCAGAGTCCCACGAACCTCGCAGGTCGACATTTACGATAGCGTAACCTCTGGCAGGCCAAACTGCTGGATCAAGACCCTCAAACTTTTCATAACCACTCACATGGCTCTCAGGGACACCAAATCTACCAGGTATCATACCAAGTCCATGGGGACCTATGCATAAATTAGCAAGTATTGCTTCTCCTCAATTAGATGGTACTTACCATTTCCAGTCTTGCCATATGGACTCCAAATGAGAATCGCAGGAACTTTGTCATCAGTCTTGGGGCGGAAGACATCAGCGTATATCCTGGCACCATCACGAGTAGGGAGCACAATATCCTTCTCAAAGATAGTGTCTGCCTCGAAAGCTCTAGTTGCAGGTGTTCGCTGATGGCCCTTGGGTAACTCCTTGATCGAGGGGTTGAATGCATCGTAAGGACCAGCTTCCTTGGCTCCAGGTTTTATAACCGGGCCTACATGGACGTTGAAGCCGTTGATCTTGAGCGACATTGTAGCGATGGATATCTAGTTTCGCAGTATTTAACAAATTGGAAATTGAATGATCTTGTTTTTAAAATATAAAGCTGAACCCCGAACACTATTACGACTTATAAATCACATTTTCCACGATTTTAAAAGTCATATCACGCTTCATTCCTAAAGTAATTCATTTTACTACAAGATTCGTGGGGCCGAAGTGGTTAGGCCTTTATCCGAGCTGTCCGGATGTACGGTCGGCTCGGGACCACACTCCCCACTGTTAAGTTAGGGGGTTGGCTAGAGACATGAACACAAATGAGAAGAGGTATTGAAGCGGTGCTCGAGTCGCTGGTCAAGATGAGAGCAACACTGAGCATCCATTTCCCACTCAGATGTTTAGAGGGCTGCAAAAAGCGACACCTTACGAGGCCATGCCATATAATGAATAAACCCTTGGCCAATTCAGCTCAACATATATCACCAGCTAACTGCCCAAGAATCTTTGCCGATACTCAGGGTACCAAGACACGGCAGGAAGGTCTAGTCATCTATAACATCCTTTCCCAGGCGGGGGAGACTACGTAGCCCCCAGTAACTCGCCCATCATAAACTCCAGGCGTCTTGTGTCACAGTGTGACGCAAACTAGCTGCATATAGCGCACGACTTGCATAGGAATGTGACTATGGCTCAAAAAGGACTATGGAGCATGCGGTAACAATCTTCATGCTGAAATCATTTGGGCGCGTTTATATTGCATCCCATAGAAGCCATCGCGAGGGTTCGGTGCGACGAACCTAGTGCAATGGAATTTGGATTGAACTTAAGACTTGTTCCTCGGAGCATCTTGCGCCTTCTTGGCCTGGATTCGGTGCTCCTCTGCCTCGACCATATCTAAATAGTACAGTAAGTAAACTCATCATGATAAAGTAAAATGAAATTAAAACCCTGCAGATGTGAGTAAGACCACAGGTCACTTACCCTTCCAGAGGTCTTGGCCCTCGTACTCCTCCTTGTGGACCTTCTTCTCGATGAGCCTCTTGTGCTCGGGGTCACTAGGGTCTAGGACCTTGACTGTCTGGAAGCGGCTGTTGCCCGTCTTGGCGTCGTTTGCCTCGAAGGCGGCCGAAATGATAAGAACGGCCAGTGTGAGACCCTGGGCGTACACGCGTGCCTGGACGAGCTTCTGGGCGGTGCTGATGGGGGCGCGGCCCACGACGGCAAAGGCGACGGCCATACTGGTGAGCCACGAGGCGAAGACGATGCTGTAGCGGTTCTCACGCCCCCACTCCATGAAGCGCTGGTAGTTGGTCTCGTTCTCGCGGGCAATCTCCTGCGCGCGCTTGGAGCTATCCTGGTAGAAGCTCATGGGGTTCTGGGCCTTCTGGAAGGAGGTCGAGTAGCGATCGGCGTTGACGATGGCGCCAAAGGTGCCGGCCGAAGTGATGAGGAAGGCGCGCAAGGGCAGCGTGAGCATGCGGAAGGCCGGGTACCGTCTCGTTGCAAACACGACGCCGCCAACGCCGATGGTCAGGCCGACGGAGCCGCCGATGAGGCCTCCCGTGAGGACCTGCTGGTAGTGCGCTTGCTCCTCTTCTTTGGTGATGATCTTCATTTTTGCGGGCGGTAAGAAGAAGCGGCCGTGGAGGTTGCGTGGTGGAATGCGATGCGATGCGACGGGTGAAATGTCTACTGGTGCGTGAAGCAACGAAGATTGTGAACAGACTGATGAGGAGATCTGGTGCCTCTGTCCGGGAGCTGGGGAAGTCTCTGATGTCATAATGATCGGAGTGAGCATGCCCCAATCCACCAACTCCCACCATGGCGAGAGAGCCCCCCGCAGGTACTCAGCCCAGACGCCGTCTGTAGTCAGCCCTTTCATCTTGGGATTGTCGCAGTAGATTGGTCGCCCGGCTAGAGTCGGGCATACACACGGACGGCTTAGCCCAGTCTCGAGATGGGATGTTATCTCACATCAAAACTTACCACAGCAGCTATCGAAGTTGATACATCCTACCCTACTCTTTGATTTGAATCGCCTTCATCTTGGCCGGTATTTCAGATCGGTTGGCCATGGTTGCGAATGTACGTTTGGGGCTTGATGTGAAGCTGGCGGCAATTGATCGTCGAGCTCGAGATCGAGAAATGAACTTTGAACTAGGGCATTATAAATTAAGGAAGTCGGGACTAAAGGAACTATAGCTAAATAACTCTAAGCCCGGTAGTTGGTTCCATGAAGTATTAGGATTATTTAGTAAGTTAGCTAATGATCTATCTATATTTAGGGCAGAGGAATCCTTAAGAAGGTATTAAATTATAGCCTATCCCTTACTGGCTCTAGAGCACGTTGATTCTAGGCCTTTTAGAAACCTAATACACTTCTTAATATCTATATAGGCTATCTCTCTCGGATGTTCTAGTAATCTAAGTCTGATTGTGAACTGTTAGTATTTAACTATATTAAAGTTTAGAAGATAATCTAAGAACGCATAAGATTAACCCTAATAGATTTAGATAATAGACGCAAAAAGCGAGATAGTGCAATAGAGGAACCAGTTCTTAAATAAGTTCTATAGTATTAATATAGCTTTAAGCTACACTAATATATTAAGATATAGCTTTATCGCTATAAGAACCTAGTGTTACTTATGTGGCGCTATCTAATAATAACCTATTAGGATAATTAATACTTCAATATATTTAATAATAGGTATATTTACCGAGCTTACCTATAAAGATTTAAAAGCGATCTAGTATAGATAATTAATATAATAACACATATTACTAGATTAGGACCCCTCTCAGTAGTATTTATAGAGAAGTGAATATTATCTAGTAGACCTATAAGCTATTAGTCTAAGGCTCTCTAAAGAGTGATAATAGAGCAGAGGAATATTCTCACCTTCTTAGCATCTTAGAGTTCTCTTATCTATAATAGTAAATAAAACTTTTATATCTTCCCCCCTATGCGATAAAGTTAGATAAATACTATAAAGCTAGTCATCAGAGAAGATACTATTATAGTTAGAATTTCTATAGAAGGTTTAGTATTCTAGAAATATGCCTCTAATTCTTCATCCTTTTTATTAATAGAGATATCGCAATAGCAGTCTGCATCATCAGTAGCTATAGGGCGGCCTAGATATATAGATATAACTCTTTATAAAATCATCAATTGTAGGGCACTTCTAAACATACTAATTCACATGGCACCACAGCACAGATGGTTAGACAGAAAACGACCACGCCTTAATAAAAGTCTTGAGCGCTACTAAACGTTTGTCTTTCCCCCTATACATTATCCTATCTCTAATATCTCGCCGCCCCTATATCACTGATCAAAATATAGTCTAATCCCCGGTTAAAACCTAACTGCGTGAGTTACTAGAGTGAGCTAAAGCCCGGCAAGGGCTAAGTATTAGCTAATAGTTTAGAGTTCCTAGGTTATACGCTTATTAAGACAGTGGCGAGCTTAGGTGAAGATGTAAGTTAAAGTCTACTACCCTAAACCACCTCCTTAGCTCATTAATATCTATACTAATAGGTCCTTATTAATTACAAGTATAGTAATATTGACAATAACGTGATATATCTCTAGGTTAGAGTTATCTCTTTATTAGGAGTATCTCCTATAGTGAAAATAGCTAGGAGTAAAGTATAGATAATAAAGAGATTTCTTAATATTGGCGCCTATACTATTATAGTCCTAATATGTGAAATAAAAGTATATTATATTTATGATATTAGGCCTTTCTATTTATTCCCTCTATATACTAACTCTTAATACACTAGGAATAAGCTAAATTGATTATGAGGGTATATAAGTACCCGTTATTAAAATAGCCAGCTGGTGTGTAAGGCGCTAGTGTAATAATCGCCCCTGGTGTGTTTAACTAAAACAGCTGTAAGTACTTACTTACTACTAATGAGAATGTAATAATATATATATAAATAGAGAGCTATATGGTAGTTAAGAATATTAAAGCTATTACTAGCGTGGAAGGGATTAGTAGGGAAGATTAACTCTACCTTATATATATAGTGAAATACTGGTTAATACTCCTGGTTTATAGATATGCTTTTTATTGGCCTTAATGATCTAGCTTCTTCAATAGGATATATCATATTTAACTATATATTAATCCTAGAAGTCTGAGAGGTAATAAAGAGAATCCTTAAAGTAGGTCTTAATATAGGGAAATACATTAGACACTTTGCTCTTAGCCTAGAAATTAGTAAGTCCTATTATCTTAGCGATATTAATTCTGTAGTAGAAATTAAGCCAGGCTGACTTAAGATGAATCTATAGTGGCATAAAAGTATAATTAAGGCTTCCACTTTATTAACTATAGAGCAGATATTATAGCTATCATAGCTTAGATAGGAACTACAATGACTATACTTAGCTATCTGACTTTACACCCTATAAAGGCCGGCAGTGGTGAAAGCTATTGGAACTACTGTATCGTGCAACATAATACGCTTAGTCAGAATAAGTTTAGTTTACTATAAATATATCTCTTTTCCCAGATTAGAAGAGTATTAAGCTTAAAGGAGAAATATATAGTAATTTATATAATTATTCTCTCTAGAAGTACTAGAGATATATAATTTAACTTAATATAATTTATAATTTTTATTCTTTCTATATATATAATCTAATAATTAAAAATTTTAAAATTATATTTTTTTAAAATAATTATAATTATAAATATAAATATTAAATTAATAAAACTAAATATATTTAATTTAATTAAATAATAATAAGATATTATAAGATTTACTTAAGATATTTAATAAATTAAATAAATTAAATAATTAGAATTTTTTTAAATAAATAATAATAAATATTATTATTAATAAATAGATTTTATATTTTATACTTCTTAAGAAAATAAATAAATTTTATATTTTAAAATATAAAGAATTAGTAATTTTAGAGTTTTATTAATATAGTATAAAAATCCAGAATATAAATTAAATTAGAATTATAAACTTTATTTAAAAAGAATAATTTATAAAACTATTTATTAAATTTCTTAATAAAAATAAAAAAGCTTATAAAATTATATAAAGTATATATTAAATCTTCTTTATTTAATTTAATAAAAAGATTAATAGAATATATAATATATTTTATTAGATTAATAAATATATAACTCTATATTATATTAAAATATACTTTCTAATAATTATTAATTTAAAAGAGAGAAATAATATTTATTTTTTCTTCTAGAATTTAAAAGATATATATAGTATAAATAAAGCTAATAAGAGAAAATAAATAGAGGAAATATATTTTAATACTCTAAACTAGATTAATAAGTTTAAAACTAACTAGTAAGAATAAATTAATAATTAGAAGAAAGTAATAAGAATTATAAGACTTAGAAAAACTCTTATTATCTTTAATTTATCTAAATAGTTTAATAACTTAGAGAAATACTTATAATTAAAATTTAAATTACTATTATAAATTATAAAAACCTAGTTTTAAACTAAGATAAATAATAAAATCTATAAAATAGTAATATTTATTAAAACCTTTAGAGATAAATTAAGAATATTTAAAAAAAACTTAGATAAAGAAACTAAACTCTATATTATAAAAAGTAACTTTAGTTTAATATTTTAAAGAGAAAACTTATTAGATAAAAAGTAAAAGTACTAAATAGAGAAAAAAACTAATAAATATAAGAATAAATAATAATAAAAAACTAGAGATAATAAATCTAATTATATTCTTTATAATAAGAAATCTAAAGAAACTAATATAAAAAACTACTGGTTATTATACTTAGAAAACCTATTTTTTAGTTTTAATAAAAGAAGATTATATTCTAATAAGTAAATAAAATATTTAGAAAAGATTTCTAAAGAAGTAAATATATATTATATCTAGTAATAAGAGTTTATAATTAATATCTAATTTTTTCTTTAAAATTTTAAATAGTTTAAGTTTTTTATAATTTAATTTATTATTTAATTTTATTATTATAATATTTTTATAAAATAAATAGATTTTTTTTTCTTTAAAATTAGTTTTTTTTTTTAATTTTATTTTATTATAATATTTTTTTATTCTTTTTTTAATAAATTTAAATTCTATTTTTATTTCTATATATAATAAATATAGTATTTCTTTTATATAAATAATAGTTAGTATATTTAGTTTATTAAATTTTAATTAGAGCTTATTAAAATAAAAGAAAAATAGAACTAATAATTAGTAAATTAAAACTATATATTAAGTATTATAATTATCTTTTTTATTAAGAATAATAGCTATTTATTAGTTATTCTATAATAGTTTCTCGTAGGATCTATTAAAATTTAATAAGAGAATTTTATACTAGTAAAAGATAGAGAGTAGGATTTATTACTAAGGATTTATTAATCTATTAATTAGAAATTTCTATTAATTTATAAAAGAATTTTTATTTACTTAATATTTATCTAATATTTCTAATATTCCTACTAGGAATAATATTAATCTAGTATTTTAATAAGGTTTTAACTAAAAGCTTAATTAAACTAGATCTTATTAAGATTTATATTTATATTACTTACTACTTTTAAAGCTTATTATATTAATATAATTAATTTTAATACTAT